AAACACTGAGCCCGGGGTCAGCTGGGGATTCCCCAGCTGATCCTGGGCTCCCCGTGGCATTTCATCATCCCCAGCTGACCCAGGGTCCTGGGGAAATGGCGGGAGGAGCTTGGGATCAGCTGGAGAGTGCCCAGCTGACCCCGGCCTTCCCATTGAAACGTGGAGGAGTCGTTTCAAAGGGGCAGCTGCCACGCAGCTGATCCCCAGCTCAGCTGTGCAGCGCTGCCCCTTTGAAACTCTGCCTCCATGTTTCAATGGGGAGGCCAGGCTCAACTGAGCAGCACTCCCCAGCTGATCCCAACCTCCCTGCAGCATTTTCCCAGGACCTGGGGTTAGCGGTGGAGACCCTGGGTTCCAAGGAAGTGCCATGTGGAACCCAGGGTCAGCTGGGGAGTCCCCAGCTGATCCCGGGTTCTGCTGAAATGCCATAGGGAACCGTAGTCAGCTAGAGAGTCCCCAGCCTACCTTGGGCTTCATGGCTTTGAAATGCACACTGGGCTACCCTGGGCTCCATGGCTTTGAAATGCACAAGAGCCCCCGCCGGGGACACTTGTACATTTCAAAGCAGACACCCATGTGCAACCTTGTGTCAGTGGGACTTCCCGCTGGCCCTGGGCTGTACACGGAGTGTACAAAATACCCAGCGGGGGCTCTTGCACATTTCAAAGGAGGCATGCGGAAGTGCCTATCGACTAGTTGAGTAGTCAATGGAAACTCCATTGACTGCTCGACTAGTCAATTAACTGCATTTTAACTTCCCTATATGGAGTATGCTTCATCAGGGGCCTTCATTAAGTTCTGGAGTCTATGGCCCTAGTTAGTTGCTCCTATCCAGGAGAAGAGACTGTCTAAAAGGGAATAAGTTAATGGATGTTATTGAGGAAGGGGTGGGAGAGAAACTGGGACAGTGCAATGTGACATGTTCATCTGTATAACGGTTCTATCTTTTCCCAGCTTGTTTGGAAATCATGGTTTTGTTTATAGGTTGAACTTTGAACTGGATTTTCAATTCCTTTTTATTTTAGTCATCGACTTGTAAGCCAACAGTCACTGCAGAGAATAGCATTAATGATATTCCTGAAGCTCAGAGAACTAACAGCTAAATGAATTGGGGCAAGATACATGAACATTCCACAGTACAAATAAAGCTGAATAATTTGCATTGGTCAGTTTAGTGGCTAGGCTTTTATTTAAGTTAGATGAATGTGGTGCCCATGAAACAGGGAACTGAAAACCCTGATAATCTAGAGCCTACTCTGCTACAGGCAGGTATGGTGTTTAAAACATCCTTCACATAGATTTGTCAGTATACTGTAATCCTGCCCCACTGCAGTGCACCAGCTGATCCAGTGCTGAATGATGCTCTAGGAGTGTTAATCATGGCAGAATCCCAGTCTAACTGGAGATTGCATCATGAACAACTGTAGAGATTCTCTAGCCTTCCAGATCTGTAGGCAAGATACCCAACTCCCATCAGATGGGATATGGATAAGAGGTGACACTTCTTGAAAGCATTACATGCTTTCCAAATTAAATGCTAAACATAATTTCTTATTCTTGGAGAGTAGCATGTACTAAGCACAGTAGTGGCAGCTAAAAGCTTGTGGATCATTTCCCTAGCAGACACTTACTCCATGTATAACCTTAAAGTCACATAACCTTTTTCTTGTTTTTGGGCTAATATTACTAGCCTACCTGTCTGGCCTGCTGTGGATTAGTAAAGGAGTTGTATATGAATAATGCTGCAGAAGTGATAAATATTAATAACTTTGTGCTTTCAATTTTCCAAAGAACCAATTGGTCTGATACTAATTGGTTTCATTTAGTTCTATACAGATTGATTAATTAGGTTAATGTGCTACTAACTAAAGTAATGTAAGTTTTAATTTAGATATCCAATACTAATTAAACATCTCTTTTTCTTGTGCTCAGCCTGAAACTTCTAAATCTTGCAATGAGTGATATAATGAGTTGTTAGTGAACAGGTTTCTGCAGGGTTGTGCTGAAACGTTAAATGGTTTATCTCCACTAAATTGTGGTGTGCGTTCTTCCTCCTGTGTAATGCAGTGTCTATCAAAGTACTGCTTTTCCCTTCTTCAAAAACATTTTGGCCTCTGACCCAGTTTTATTTCCTTCCAAAACTAAGTTTAGTTCCCTGCTCAGATACTCCTCCAAATTCATTGTATTTATTATAGAAGAAGCTTCCACTGTTCGGGGGCATCTGGCATTGACCACTGTCTGCAGACAGGATACTGGGCTAGATGGCCTTTGGTCTGACCCAGTATGGCCATTCTTATGTTTTCCGGGGAAGATTGTCTGTTTCATAATTATCGATCTTTTCTTCTACCAGCAATGGGCCTTCTTGCCAAGCGAATGTGGTTCTTGGCTTTAGAGATAATGAGATTTAATATGAGGGAAATGAAAGATCTCTAAAAGATGTGAGAATGAAATATTCCCAGAAAAGTATGGAAATCCCATTGTGAGACCAAACATGATTAGACAAGACACTGGGGAATATGCTGTGTAGAGTGCAATCCCACATTAGCCAGGGCATGACTAGATATGACTGAATTGGTTTCCTCCATTTCTAACGTAGTACTACTCTCTCTGTTTTGTCTGTTGATATAAGTGTATAAATATTGTGTTTGTGTTTCAATTAAGAAAAGAATTGGGGTTGCCAGGTGTCTGGTTTTGAACTGGACAGTCCAGTATTTGAGTTTTCTGTTCGGGAAATAAATTGAGAAAATATAAATAAGAAAATAGAAATGTCCAGTATTTTCTAAATACTGTGTAATGTATAATGTGATGTAATGTCAAGTGTGTCCGGTAGTTTTGTTGAAACCATCTGGCAACCCTAAAAGAAACTCTTGGTCCCTTTCCATAAGTTCACCACTGTTACAAGAAAATCCTTTTTTTCTGTACCATTTAACAACAAAAGCAGCTTCCCTACAACCCTCAGTCTCTCCACATCTTTTCATATCTCAGCAGAAAATTTATCCTGTTCCTTCTATTATTCACCCTTTTATATCTTCACCATCTGCTACTCTGTATCAGTAGCAGTGTTGTGAGTAATAATTATATACATCTGTTAATATATTACCCTAGCCTGTAGCTGTCTAAATTAAAATAACGGGCATCTGTCAGTGTTACTGCACACATTTACCCATAGTTACAAATTTATTAATAGAAACAGATCTATTAAGACATAGATGCTAATTATATACAGTAAGATAAAATTACAGAAGAGCAGTTGGAGAAGAAATTGAGATATGAGGAGACTTGAGAGACAGTGTATTTCAGATGGCTGGACCTGCAAAGGAGAATGGTATTGGACCAACAGTGGCAGGGTAATGAATGAGAAGGGATCAAGAGCTGATGAGCAGAGGGAGATCAGAATGGGGGCGATCATAATTATGGTTTAATATTAAGACATCCTGTTCTGAGACTTTTTATCTAATCCTTCCCACCTTCAAGAGAAATATTTGCTCAGTTACAGACAGTGCTTTACCTGCCAGACAGTCAGAAGTATGGACATTGATTTCTAAATGTATTATTGGTATAGTCTGGCTTCTGGCCAGCAACTATCTTTGACTTAATTCTCTCTTGCAATAAGTAGGTTTGAGATATCAAGATGTACGGGGAGATGAATTGGATACAAGGTCTCTGAGTAATGAAATCTTCCTATGATATCCTTTTAAAGTTAATGATGGAAGAGCTAGATTTATGCTCCTTTTTTTTCCAGCCAAAAAACAGACAAAAGACTCTTTAAAGAAATAAAAGCTAAAGCATCAGGAGTTCAGAAACCACCCAAGAAGACTTTTTTCCCCTAAGAATTGTGCTGTAGCAGCCCAAAACCACTGTAGCTTAAACAGGATTTTAAACCATATTTATAGGCTGTGTTTTATCTGCTACCATATCCCACTAGTTTATCTTTAACAACAGCTGTTCCAACAGGCCTCTTTCCTCCTCCACTTAAGGGCGTGGCATTGAGGTGTGGGAAAATAAGATATAACATATGGCATCCAGTTCTGGGCACATGACTACCAAAGTCATGCTGCTGTTTCAGCAAAAATTCAACGTGTGAAAATGCTATCAAAGGAGAGAGATTATTTAGGGTGGTCTGCAGGAGTATAATTAGAAGTAACGGGATGAAAGAGAAAATTTGCCAACAGTGGTGTGTATGTTCATTCTCACAAAGTCTGTGTTGGAAGCCGCAGTTACTTGAAAAACCTGGATCAGACAAAGCACTGGAAAATATATTTTATAGTAAAGCTCTGCATAGGTTACTGCGGCATGGACATGACTGGGCATCAATCTACTATGATCCCATGTCTCCTCTTTGTAATTGCCATGGCTAAGAATACAGTCAGAGTCTTTAGCCATTTTGAAATTTTCTGTGGATACTGGTGACTCTGGTAGTTAGTTTAGCCATTACCCCACAAATCAAATTTGCACTTGTCTTGATAAGGTGATATTTGAGAGGATGAAATAGTGTCAGCCGCTGACAGAGCATATATGTTTGAATTATTCTTGCTGATATTGTTCCTGGCAGATCTAAGAAGAGTGGTGTTCTTTAAATGTACTGGCTAATAGTGCATGCCCTCTATTAAGGATCTTTGGAAAAAGAAATGGAACTAGTCCATTCAGACAATTTTCTTAGCAGCCACAAACTCTTTCCATTCACTTTTGTCCAAGCCAACAATGCATTCTGCCAAAAGTTTTACCGCCATTCAGTATGAATGGAGAGTCTGCCAGCAAACTTTGCTTAAAATCTCCAGCCCACATTCAATGGACTTACCTTCCACTGATATTGATCAAAGCATTTACTTTGAAGCTGCTAGGAAAACTGGACTTCTTTCTGAATTCCCAGCAGCTGTGCTGCCACACTATCTCTGCCTCTTTTATGAACCTATTCCCAAATATACATACTGTCTTCTCCCTGAATATTTTGAATTTGAAGATTTCATCAGAGGATCTTAAAGCCTTAGCAAACGGTTTAACCTTGTGACAGTCATATGAGGTAGGTGTAGTAATTTTGTTTTACCAAATTCATGCCCATTAAAAAAGAACCATGAAATTTGTTCTCCCCCGGTGACATCTGGTCTCTTGTGTGCATTTACAGAGAGTTTGGGCGGGGAGGGAAAGGGAGCACAAGGTTACTTTAGGAGGATTGTAGCAGTGCCATCTGCACTGTTACTTCTGTGCTACCTTTGTAGCTGGGCAGTCGGAGAGTGGTGGCTGTGGGCAGGGCATACAGCTCTGCAGTCAGTAGCACAAAAGTAAGGGCACCATACCACACCATCCTTACTGCTGTGATGGTGCTGCTGGTAGCAGCTCTGCCTTCAGAGCTGGGCTCTAGACCAGCAACCACCACTTTGTATCTACCCTCGTCAGAAGGCAGTGCCACTACCAGTACTAGTGCATCATTAAGGATAGCAGTGCTGCCACCTCCCCTCAAAAAGTGTGTGACTCCGTCCCTACAACTCCCTTTTTGGGTTAATACCCTGACAATTACAACACTGACAAATTTCAGATTTAAATAGCTGAAATAGTGAAATTTACTATTTTTAAAATCAAATGACCATGAAATTGATCAAAATAAACTGTGAATTTGGTAGGACTCTAGTTCTGGGTAAACTAATTCATAGAGAACTGATTTGTCCAGTGGTGATGCTGATAATAGAACACGGGAGTTGTGACTGGAAATTGCCTGCTCTGCTGGATCACACAGTTATATTTTAGTTTGTTACTGTAGCATAATCTTATGTTACTTAAGTAGAGTCTGAGATCTTTCCATTCACTGGCAACAGGCACAATATTTGAAACTGTGTTTTTGCATGAGGAATCCTCCGGTGTCCTCAGCTGCAGCAACGTGAAGATTGACTTTGATTCCTTCTGCCCAACTCACTTTGCTTTCTGTCCACACTGATGTTAGGTCTCTCACTTGCTGTTAGAACAGTTGACAGATTAATCTTGCATTGAGCTATGGAACTGGCCACTTTGTATGGGGATATTTCAGGCTCTCCAGTCCTTCTGATGTCAGATAAAGAGTTATCTCCAGCTATTAAAGTTCTAGGGATCAACTTAGTGGGAGATGCTTGCTACCCTCTACCTTGGAAACCAATGTGATGCACTTGGTCTCATTTAGGGTTGCCAGATGGTTTCAACAAAAATACTGGACATACTTGACATTACATCACAATCTACGTTACATCTTATTGAGAAAATATAAATATCTGGTATTTTATAAAATACTGGACATTTATATGTTCTCATTTATATTTTCTCAATTTGTTCCCAAACAGAAAGCTCAAATACTGGACTGTCCAGTTAAAAACTGGACACCTGGCAACCCTAATCTCATTTGATACATCTACATAGCAAACAAACCAATAGCAGCAAGTTTCAGAGCCCAGATTTACAGATTGGGGTTAAAATAGCTGTATAGCCATTGTTCCTTGGGCTGTGAAACCTTCCCTCCTCCCTATACTTCAGAACCCAAACACAGCTATTTTTCATGCTGTAACATGAACCCCCTGCTAAACTCTGTGCTTGTGCAGCTGCTCAGGAGGCATTCAAATCCTGCCCAGCTGATTAGAGCAGTGCCCGCAACTAGGTTTTCGTTTCTACTGTTGGTGCACATTCACACATGCCTCAGTGCACATAAACATTTATTTCGTACAAGGACAGAAAGGTTTAGAAGAAACAGTGGCCGTGAGCCTGAGTCTGTCACCGTGGGATCAGTACCATGGGTATTTGTTTGTCATGTGTCAAGGCTGTTCCCCACTCTGCCACTTTGAGTGCTGAAGGTGGGCTCCCACAAGAGACTTTAAAATACCCTGCAACTAAAGGCTTCTGCTCAAAAAACTTTCCAAGATCAGAGTGTCATCACCCAAATGCAAAAACCCCTTTGAAAACCCAGGAAGACACACTTGGGAATTTATTTGTGTGAGGTTGCACTCAAGCTCTTCAACCCTCTCTCTGGAGAGAGCTTGAAAACAAACTGTAATTTCTTACTAGCTGATCTTTCAGTCTCAGGCATTTGTACACAGAACCTCCTAGGACACAGGAATCATATCATAGTCTTAAAAAGGTGATTTTTATTAACAAAACAAAGAAGACATATTTGGTAAAGCATATTTGATTGCTAGGTGTTACAGAGCAACCGAAAAAAAGGCAGATTAAAAACACAGAATTGCTTCTCTGGGATTCAGTTTAAAAGTTACAGTGTATTGGGTGGGCATGAGGGGATACATGGGCTGAGCACAGAGGAGTTCAACAAAGCTGAAAATAACCTGATCGTGTCTGACTAAACATCCCAGTTCTACTTACATATCTATTGTTCCCATGTTTAGTCTTTCCCCAGGCATGGATATCGCTGGAAATTCCATGCCTTGTTTCTAGCTTAACTCATCTCTCCCAGTTCAACTCTGATCACACAAAGACTGCAGCAGGATCATTGACTCTCCTGGCTCCCTTCCAACACTTCCTTAGGATTCGCTGTCTCTTGGATTAACCCTTACAGACAATTTAGTTAACTGAATGGCTGAGATATCCAGAAAAGGGTGTAGCGGCTCCCATTCACCACATCATGTTAGATTTATCTAGTGACTTGAGGGTGCTTTAGATCTTCTTCTAAACTCCACTCTTTTTATGTGGCCATATGAGGTTTGGCTAAAGCCAGAGGCCCCATTGTTCATGTAACTATTTACATTTCTCTTTTGTTCCACAGTCTTTCCCATGTCCCCTTCCGTGGGCACTGTTAATTAAAGTTTCAGATTAATTTTGCCTGGTCCTAAGGGACT